CCCCAAAACCCCAAAACCCCACAGGTTAAATAACTTAAAATTAACTTAAAAATTCAAATTTAAATAAAAATGTATAAATTATCATTGATTTTCTTGCTATCTCATTTTTTTAGTCAATTAGTGAACTCTTAAATAAATAAGCTTTACACTATTTCTGGGACTGTAGACACTATAACGGTCACTACTCCAATAGAAGAAAAAACTGCATTTGGAACATGTACGTGTGATAAAACTTTAAATAGTTGCGATATATACTGTTGCTGTGATAATGATTGCTCAGCCGCAATCTTGAATTACTGGAAGTCTAATTATAATTCATATTGCACGCGAAGTTATATTGGAGAAGAATATAGACCGTTTTCTTAATGCATTTCAAAATCTCATATATTTAAGTATAATCAAAGAATGGGAATGGAGGTAAGCGAATAAAATGGACTTCTTTGCGTAGAATTAGACACTGGTTCAATATTCTCAGGTTATTCTGAATATATTAAAGACTTTAATGATACTCTGGCTCAGATATAATATGATTTATCTAAAAAATTATATCAATCTGCAGAAACCTAAGCTTAGGTGGGTATTATGAATTCCTATGCAAAAGGATAATCAGTTTTGTATTTAAGAGATGGGTCAATCAAGAAATTTAGACTCCCTTAAAGTGATAGTTTCGGTATCTGTGATAACTATAAATCACCTAGCTTCTTGACTTCAATCTCAGACAAATCTTGCTACTAAAAATTCTAAGATTTAAGTCAAGTTTGCACATCAATCTTTAATCCATAGCAATTTAGTTCAACTATTAACTTCCTAAGAGGTTCTTCAACTGGAAGCACAAGATTTTCTATCAGTGTCTCAAAAATTTATTAGAAAAATTCAATAACAGGAGAGATCACATAACTTGACTCTAATGTTCCTTCTTCTACATACGATGCAGTAGCATGCTCCTGTTCAAATTAATTACTTGAAGCGCATTACACACTTCTTTATACACCTACTTCGAACGGCTACTTTACAGCAAATTCTATGAGTGTGATACTGGTAATTGCAGATAGCGCTCTTTATGATGTAAAGTATTGTACACAATCATCAATTGCCACAAATTAGCCCATTCTTGTAAAACAAATTTTTAGCTTTGAATTCTTGGTTTTCTAAACAACTAGTGGTCTTTATAAATCAGGCAATCCAGGATATATAAAAGGCCTACCACTTCTTGCTAGCTTTGGCTCTAGCGATGGTATTTAATAAGTGAGAACTCAAGGATTAAGACTATATTCAAAGAATAATCAAGGATTATGCTTTACAGCAGCATCAACTATCACAGATTTTTAAACAGATAGTGTTAATTTTGGCTAAGATTTATCTCTGAGTTGCAAAGTGAATTTAAATGCTGCCCAGTTAAAATCATATTGCTAAAAAGATTACTCGACTCTAAGCTTCCAAAAGCCCAATCTTAAAATCTTTAGTCAATTGTTGTCAGAGGTTAAATCAATCGGGGTATTTGGAAGTGCAAATCCAGCTTACTAAGGAGATTGGAAATCTATTGTTTATGATGATTTATCAGGATTCTAGTCAGACATAACGAATGACCAATAATACGATGAAACTATGAGTACATGCAACTTAATGGCAGGACTGGAATTTGAAGTATTAACTTCAAAGCTTGGATTCCTTGAAGATCCATAAAATTATGTGATTGGTGTGAGAGTAACAGGAATTTACGACTAATGGTCCTACAACTAAATTGATGCTACTACTGCACAGAGTTTCAGTCATTTTGCCCGTGTCAAATTCGTTGAAGCCTTGCCTGAAGATTTATTGTAATAAAATACACCAACTAGTGGTCTGTTACCGAAACTACCCTATGATTTGTTTTATCCTCTAACAGTGCAATCTGATGCAGGTCAAGGAGAATATATAAAAATACAGGCAGTATTATTAGTAGCTGTCGGTTCAGTCTTAGCTCTTTTAATATTGTGAAGTTTGGTATTTGTAATTTAATTCTTATTAATAAATTTTAAATATATAATCATAGTTAGGGAGGTAACTCGAATTACTAAATATTAGGCTAGCTTAATCTATGATCTGAATGAAGACTATTTTCAAATCTTGGTCCCTAGTCTATGACAGGACTTTAACCTAAGGGAAAAGTGTTACTATTATTTATTAGTGGCTCATTTTATCGGTTGTTTATACTAATTCCGCTTCCATAGCTAATTAAATTTACTCTGTTTATTTCTGCTCTTATGTTATTGTTTCCTCCTGTATTTTATGTTCTAGTAAAAGACCTCTCAAATCTGTTATTGTTTGCATAATTATGACTATTAGGATTTTAAGTTATTTTCATGGTTGTACTCTTAGCCAGTGTGTCTTTCTCTTTTAATTTCTCTTATCTTCTCTTTATAATTGCTTCTTTAATTTTATCTATTGATATCTCACCATTGCATAATGGACACTTATGCACTGCCTCTGTTATCTTTGACTTGAACCATCCATCGATGCAGTTTGTGTGGAACAAATGTTTACATGTAGGCAATTTTCGTACGCTCTTCCCTCTTTAGAAATCCTCAAAGCATATGACACACTCATTTTATTTAAATTCGTCCATTGCTTTCTCGAACTTTTCTTCTTTAATTAGACCAATAAGAGTTTTCAGTCTATCAATCTGCATTGTTTCTTCTAACTAAGCAATTTGAACAATAGCAGTTCGAGATTCTCTGTTTCTCAACTGATTTTAAACAACTTATGAATATCTTCTTCTTCTCAAACATACTCTAATAATGGCAGCAGCACATATTAGAATAAAAACTCCCATCAAGATGAATAGGACTAACGATATAACACCAAAAACAGATCCATTTGATCCCTCATCTTATGCTTGTATTGTTATAATGAATGTTGAATTCTTTTGTCGATAGTTATTCTTTGCATAAATGGACATACCATTAATCCTAAAGATCTTGTACTACAAAATCGATGCACCATATTGAAGTAGTTGTGAGTCGGTCAGATTTTCTACATTATTTTCTTATTTTAGTCTTAGCATTAGAGTCTCCACAGAGTATCTACTATATCTTTGCACAGTCATCAAGTAATTAGTTTCATAATCAGCATTGAAAGTAAAATTGCAATAATATCCTGCTGGAATCAGTTAATCCTCTTGGGTAGTAGCAATTTGGAAAAAGTATTTCTATCCTGTCAGTAAACTTTTGGGGTTGCTTAAGTTTCCTCCTAGATTAGTTTAGCAGAGATTCAAATAGTCTGTGCATTAGTTGAACATATCTACCCATTCAAAGTCTTAACTTGATTTATCATTATACTTGGTGGAGTTTATAAAATTGCATTGACTTAAGGCAGTATCCCATCCACAAACCCCATATGTAAATGAACAATTGAAGCAATCATTGTATTACATGCATTGCTTTGTGTTTTAAAGTTCCCTATTCCTAAATTCATAATTTAGAGTTGTTTTGCAATGATTATTTCTTCGATCTTAGTAAAAACTGTTGGCATAGAGATTATGATTATAATTCAATTGCGTTTTCTCCAATAGCAATGATAATAATCCTTAAGCTAATAACTTGCAATCATGATCAATAGTTTAGTGTTGCTAATTTTAGACATGTAGAAAATCGTCACATTTTGAATAGCAAGATAGGTTTTGCTAGAGATTTTATTGATTATTTGTTTCATTTGATAAAGTCATTAATATTGTATTGTCCTCCTAGTTTGAATCCATCATGTCTTATTCACACTTATATATAAAGCATCCATTTTGAATAAGATGAGATAGGGTGTAAATTCAATTATCATATGAGCCTTTCTATAATCATTAATCGATGGAATATTGTACTTTATCCAATAATTTCACTTTTATATGTTTAGTCATAATTTGCTCTTTACTACTTCTAAATTTATTGTTCTTTTGCATTTAGAATGCCCACTTAAAAAAGCACAATTGCAGTGATGTATTGGGAAAACAATGAGATCATTTTTTACATAAATAATATATTTAATTACTAAAATTAACAAAGATTAAGTAGGTTATAATTGATAATGATCTATTTATATTTCAACTATTAAACTATAATAAATAATATTTCATTTATATTATGAATAACAATTACTGATTTCTCTGTCCCTATCTCAAGTGGGGTTTTGGGGTTTTGGGGTTTTGGGGTTTTGGGG